CTTTTCCTTCCCTCACTGTCTTATTTTACTTTCCTCTATCTTCCTTCTTCTCTCTTCTCCTTCTTCCCCCATGTTTTTTTCCCTTTTCTCTCTTCCATCAGTTTAGCGTCGGCGTTTCGCCTTCCCATTTCTCTCTCTCTTTCCTCCTTCTCCCCTCACTGTGCTTTCCCTCCCTCTTACACCCCTTCCTCCATTGCCCTCGTTAATGCTTTGGCTTCCCCGCGTTGCTTGCGGCGACGTTCGCTCTTGCGGTTCCACAGCATCCCGCCAAGCGCGCCATTGCCGTGCCGCCCGCTGCTGCCATCTAGCGGGCTGCCGTGGAAGCTCGAGCTCTCACTTTTCAAGGGGGACGGGGAAGTGGTTTCCCGAAGCTGATAACAGCCTGTTGTTAATTACGGACAAAATCCATTATGCTGTAGAATTATTCATGTTTTTCGAAGGTTTGCATCGTTCGTGGTAAGGTGAATTAATTACGTAAGTGTTTGTATGGAAATTGTATATTTTCTGCTTCGGGTATAAACGAGAAATTAAAAAAAAAAATTCCTATAATTTATGCCGACGTTTTTATTTTAAACGCATAAACCTAACATAAACCACTTATAAACAACGGAGTGCCCCCTTGACGAGTTAACGTAATTAATAGTGCACCGTGTAGTTTAGTGCACTGTTAGCGACGAATTGAGCCCTGCGCCCTTGTATCGCGAGCCTGTTGGATTCAATTGGAAACTCTCTCGGGAACAATAATTTCTCATCGATGCACCTCTTACAATCAATTAGGGGGACATTAACTGCATTATCACAGCTCTTGAACATGCTACTATCATGGACCGTCCTAAGTGTTCCCTCGGTTATAGTACTCTAATGAACTATTTCAACCCACCACTTCAACTGTTACTGTTTGAGCATCATATAACATTATTTTAATTTGTTAATTGTCAAAGCCTTGTTTCAAACTATTCACAGTTATATCGGTTACTTATGTTCGTGATCTTATATTCACTGAATTCTTTTTCCACTACGCCCCGGTTCTTGATATTGCGTTATCCTTGATTCCATTCCCTGATATATTACTATGCTTCTTAGAGATCCATTAAGAATTAGAAATATATTATATTAACACCGTGCTAATTCTTCGCAAGTTGTTGCGAAATTTCTCCTTCATATTTTCGTTAATTTGTGCAATGAACAAACAAGTTTGTACGTCTTAGAAATTGAAGGATAGGCAGGATTATGTAATTGCTGATTTGTTTGTTCATTATTTAACATCAAATTTTTTATATAGGTTTTCAAAGTATACTTTTGGAAGTGAATGGAAACCTGAAAATTGATAATCCATATTTGTCTTTATCTCCTAATAAAGTACATATTTTCAAATATTTAGTGAAAACTCGCATACCTTAATACATTCCAACATTTGCAATGTGTTCCATGTTATATTACTTCGAAATTATGCTTAGGTAGTTAGTTTAATCATTTCATACAATTTTATGTCTTTTATAAGATACGATATTATGAAATAAAATTCACAGTTTCTTATTTAAAAATTTAAAACTCCTATGTAACCCATTGCTACGTAAATGCTCACTAATCGCATAAGAATTAAGGATCTTACTTTGTGCAATCAGAGAACATGTGGTCTGTTTTCGTACAAGAAATGATTAAATGTTGTTCTATGGCTAATACTAAAAATACGTTTTGGAGAATTTAATTAATGTAATGTACACGTGTATTATTTTCTCAGTTTTTATGTTTGTATTCACTTTTAGGCTAAATGTTACTTCACATTTTGAATACTTTTAGTCTACATACATTCACTCATTGAGGTGCGTTAGTCCACATACTTTTGATAATTTTGCTAACGTTTAATCTCAAATTATCCGTTCTTAAAAAATGCATTGTGTGTTTTAAATGATTATTAAATTAAGTGTTGATATTTTATTATTCTTACAGATATTCTATAATTATTTCTATGGTTTAGTTGGAATAAAAACATTCTCCATCTCCCTTGATATGTGGTCGAAGAACACGCTGCGTATTAACATACCAATTATTTGCTTTTTTGGGTTTTAACATGTTTTATAGAGTAAATATGAGTTCCTTTTCGAATATTTACTGTAGGATGAAAAAGGGTTTCAGTAGTCTTGTGGAATTAAGCTTGTGCGAACGTAGAAAACCACAAATATCATAGTGTGTTTCAAATTGGTAGACCTCAACGTTATGAACTAATTTGTAATTTAGTAAGCATTGAAAACATACGAGATAACGATTCATAATTTTGAATTGTTATAATGTTATTAGAAGCGATTGAGTTCATATATTAAAACGTGATGTGATGTCGGACCACTATAAATGCTTGTGCCCGAAACCTTAATTTCGTAGTTTCGTCAATGCACGATTAGAATTTTTAGGGAATGTGACAATGAATGCCTAGCTGCAATAAGTTTTTTTGTTTTTCTCATGACAAATGACTCCTGTGTATAACGCAGTAAATTGAAATGTTCACAAATAGTACCACTATTGTTTTTAAAACTGTTGGGTGTTTTGTTTCTCTTGAATGACGCAAAGTGTGCAGAATATTTGTTGTTTCATAAACTCGTTCGATTTCGTGTTATTGGAGTTCTCTCTTCCGTAATAGAGTTCGTTTTGTTTTGATGTTCGTGTGGGCAAAGAAATGAGTTTCGAATTGTTTTCTTTAGTAAATGGTAAGGGGTGCTGGGGATCCAGTTTATTCATTTGTTCTGCTGTAAATATGTAGTATTCACCTGCCAAGAGTCTGTTTATTGAAGCTGAAAGTCAGAGGTCATGTCTGCTTCGACCTTGGTAATATTTTAGTGACCTTTGTAGTATATTACGTTTGAGTAGCCGACATACACAATCCGCTAAATGCTTAAGCAAAAGGGAAATTGGGGAAAAACATCTTAAGGCCATGATATTTAAGATAATGTTTTTTTAATAAAATTTCGGGAAATACTTGCTTATTATAGTAAATTTTGTATTATCTCTAAAAAAACAAAAACATTTCGGCGAGAAATTCACGTGTAGCACGTTTTGGTCAAACCTTACTCTCCTCCCATCCAATTAAAAATAAATAATAATATAATTCCATGGACTCCAAATAATAAGGCAATTAAATACTTAGGGCTGTACCTGGACACCACCCTCAACAAGAAAACGCACATAGACAACAAAATTCAGCAATCAAAAATTACGTAAAATTCTTCAACTGAAACCTCTCATAAATAAAACTACTAAACTGTCTTTAAACAATGCCATAATCTTATATAAATCAATCATCAGACCCCTCCTTATGTACGCCTGCCCAATATGGACAAATGCTGCCAAATATAACACAAAAATTACAAGTCATTCAAAATAAATTTTTAAGATCCATCACCCAAGCTCCCTGGTTCATCTCCAACACACTACTTTACACCGAATTATACATCTAACTAATCTCTCACCATATTGCCTATCTTGCCGATAACTTTTACTCGAACCTGCAATTAATCATCCGAAGCAGAAATCTCAAACTGAGTAAATATACAGAACGTCAAACTCGAATAAGAAACCGTTATCCGTTACATGCATTCTTGGACATATTCAGCAAAATATAATAAATCAATTGAGGTGCTCTGTGAGTCTCCTCCTCAGATATAGGTTAGTGTTAGTAGTAAAATAGATTAAGTTAGATTGTAATCCAGAATAGCAAATGTAACGTTGACATTAACTAAACTTTGTAATCTCATCCAGAACATAAATATTTTTTTTAAAAGAAACATGTTTGGAAAGGGGTATCTCTCATGTTTTGCGTATACAACCACGACATCCTTGATCATGTTCTCTGTCCGATTTACGAAAGGCTGTACTGATAACCCGTACTGATAATGTTTGAAATCATTAATAAATAAGCTCAATGCCTTCTGAGACCAACACATTGAATTAAATATCGCATTATTAGTCATTCATTGTTTCTATCTTTGAAGCCTAATTCTAAGTCCTATACTTCGAAAAGACCCGGAAAGTATTTGAGTTTTCTAAGCTCCTGTCTCCGTAGTATTTGTGTATAATCTCTTTGACGACAATCGGTTTTTGGCTTTTCAAGACGATTCCTTTGGGAAGGGAAGAAATATGAGATTTATTCCCTCTTGTTTAAGCACTTCGGCTCTCCGGATTCACATTTATAAAACGATTCTCCTGGAGCGAGGCAAAGCGTCGTATTTTTATTCTTTTTTATACGTTCACTATCTTTTCGAAAGCGGAAACACAGCATAGTCATGTTTTCTACAAGGTACTGTTTGCCCAGTGTCTTCAGTCGTGAACAATATATTCTTGTCGTAGATTTATGACTCCAACGTGTTTGTCAGGCTGTTAATGTAGGAAGGAGCATGATCAATCTCACAAAACGTCAGAGATTTTTAGTGTATATTTTTAACGGGTTTTACATATGCACCCGTCTGAATTTTAGGTTTTGCAAGAAGACACTTCTTTCTTTTCATGACTGGAAGGTATTTTAGAAAGATAAACAAATATATAATTTTACAGAAATTTGGACATCGCTGGGGTTTTTTTGTTCTAACAAGAATACAAATTTAAAAACAATTGTTTAGCAGGTTTTGCAAAACGACTAAAGTTCCAACGAAAAAGAGCATAAATCTTGTTTTAATCTTAACTCGTTTCAATCACAATCAATGTGTAGTAAATGACTTCCTCTAACATTGTCCCGTGGACTCGCGGCTAGCTCTTGGTCTCATTCCATTACGCGGTCCTATGTTCGATTCCCGGTCGAGCCAAGATTAGTGTGCGTGTTCCTTGCAATTTCCCGAATCATAGAAACAATCGAAATTCTTATTGTTTCTATGATTTGTTTTATTAATGTTGTAGTGTTATGCATGTTGTAAATGAAAGTAGTAAACCGCATAGACGTTGAACAAATTGCATTTGGTAAAAAAGTTATAATACTTTTCCCCTAGCCCCTCATTCACAGAATGTTTTGTTTTCAGCGGCAGCGGGCCCATGGGGTGACGCGGGCGGTGGTGGCGGCGGCGGCGGCGGCGGAGGCGGGGGCGGTTGGCGGGGGCGATGGCGGCGGCTGAGAGCAACGTGACCCCGTCGCTGCAGTGGCAGCATCCGACGCAGGCCGCGACCGCCCAAGATTGGAGACATACCGCGGTGAGTGAAGCTCGCAGCATACGAAGACGAATGCGACTCCCATGTCCTTATCGTAGATGTTGGAAATTGAACGTCGATGTTGGAAATTGAAAACGTCGATATGTTGGACATTGAAACGTCGATGTGGAAATTGAAACGTCGATGTGGAAATTTGAAACGTCGATGTTGGAAATTGAAACGTCGATGTAGGAAATGAACGTCGATGTTGGAATTGAAACGTCGATGTTGAATTGAAACGTCGATGTGGAATTGAAACGTCGATGTTGGAATTGAAACGTCGATGTTGGAAATTGAAACGTCGATGTAGGAAATTGAAACGTCGATGTTGGAAATTGAAACGTCGATGTTGAAAAATTGAAACGTCGATGTTGGAATGAAACGTCGATGTTGGACATTGAAACGTCGATGTCTGGACATTGAAACGTCGATGTTGGACATTGAAAACGTCGATGTTGGAAATTGAAACGTCGATGTTGGACATTGAATACGTCATTTGGACATTGAAACGTCGCTGTGGATAATTTGAAACGTCGATGTTGGAAATTGAAACGTCGATGTTGGAAATTGAAACGACGATGTTAATATAACATAGTTTTTAAAACTGCGTTTATAACCTTAAATGTTTACATGGGGGGAGATTTAATGTGAGGGTTGTCGCTTTTATTAATATTCCATTGAAAAAAATACAATGAAAAATGATTAGGACATTTAACAAAACTTTGATCATTTTAATAATTAAAAATTATGTACACTTTAAATATCAAAACTTCAAACACGATTTTGGTTATTTTTCACCATTAACCACATTGGTCTACAGAATGTTTAATTTAAGAAATTTGAAAATTATTACAAGTTTTTATTATGATGGTGCTTTTTCAATTAAAAGATTAAATATCAACATCGTAAAAACACGAACAAAAACATATATGTTAAAAAAACATCGGCTTCATAAAATCGAAGTTAAATTCGTAGGATTACTTTATTCAAACATCGATGTTTTGAAAACATCCTCGACGACGTCGACGTCGTATTTGTACTGACGACCCCGTTGCGGGCGAGGCTACGATCCAGTCAAAGCAACTTGTTAGCAGAAGCAATCACTTTCAAAGTTTGCCACGAAAGTATATCAGAAACAGGATGGAAATTGAAGATAAAATTGCAGCACAATGAAACATTGCAGAAGACAAACTTTAGCTTTTAATTTGAATTGAAATACTTGTGTTTGGGTACTTGTTATTGAATATCGTAGTTGTCTTCTATTTGGTGCAAGCGATCTCTTGAAAAATAAAAGAAAAGGATAGATACGAGTATAAATGGTAGTGATAGAAGTAAATCACCAAGAAAACATTTCATCTGTAATTATCACTCAGATGCCCGACGGAAATATTCAACATTGTTTTTATCATACAAAATAAATTTCTTAAACGTAGTAAATAATTCTGTGAAAATTGAGCAACTACGGGTAAACCCTTGGCAGCTGGAGAAATGACAGTGAGCGTCCGCGGAATGATGCTTTCGGCATTTTATTATTTATTCGTCTATTTTTTTCTTCCGGGGCCCCGAAACGACCAGGCGCCTAGTCCAGCTTCAGGGGGTGACGATTTCCGCTATTCGCGCCGGATACCTACTACGTTCCACTTGAGGACACACCTTAACCTTTACACTAGGCACTGGCATACTTGCGGGCTCTTCGGTCTGTGGTCAACAGACTCACAAGGCCTTCCGCGACCATACACACACATGAAACACAAGGGACCAACTACCATGCTCACGGTGGGACTCGATCCCGTGACCCGACGCACACGCTCTTGCCACCTCGGCCGTCCAGGTCAGCTATTATTAGTCTATATATTTTCTATTCTATAATAGCTAATACAATTCTAACTCTTGTCTTCTTATTCGTAATTGTTTTTGGTTTAATTATCTTTCTTCATTTAGCCATTTCAACACTTCCAGTCTCGCAATAAATAATATTGACCGTAATATACCTCTTCAAATCTTCATATCCGTCCACAGTTAGAGGTTCTTCGTTATCTACGTCCAGTTCGCTCTGTGAAACATCGAAACCGTATCTCACGTGTTTCAATGTTTATTTTGTATACATAGGCTGTGTAGTTCATTGCGTCAACATTCTGCTACATTTGTATACATGAGCCGACTGATTCCCAGCATTGATCACCCTTCAAATGGTAGCTCATGTTTCTGAATGGGTCAGGAATGGAAACACTGTTTGGGCGATAGATTTTGGCTGTGGATGCAAGAGGAGGGGGTTTCCTCGCATTAGCATTTAAAGGTTCCGTTATAACTGTGTATTTCGCTGATACTTCATACTAAATAGGGTGTCGTAATAAACCGGGCGGCCGTCAATGCGTTGAACAAGATCTTAATGTAAAAATGACGAAATCCGTTCACAATAAAGCTTCTAAATTCTAATGCAGCAATTGTAATTCGACTTGTTTTCATGAATATCAATGCCTCGTGCCTTAGACTAAATACAGAACGTTACTACAATGGCATTCCATTCAAGAACGCACGACTGATTTTTTTTCTTCCTGGCGTTTAAGGAAATCTTTGCAGCAAACTTATTTGTGTACTTCTACGTAACATATTCAAGTCGGGTTCCTTAAAGTAATTACAATTATAACTTCACTATCATAATTGAATGTATGGGGATTCCTTCTTAGATGGTGTGGGGGACTCATTTTCATTTTAGTAAATGCAGTATATAGAATAATGGGGTTAGTTACTGATTAACTGAGACCGGAAAAATATATAGTATGAAACATTAAAATATGTACATAAATACGTAATGAAAACGGTAATTATGTTATTAATATGTAAAATCGGATATGTAATATTAAAATTCTCTAAATATAAAACATAGTAGCATTACATAATTAGAAATTACATTTATAAAAAATGCCCAAAACACATCTTAAAAATTATACACACGTTTTGAAAATTAATTTTGAGTGCACAAGTTGAGGCAAATCCATTGAACTTTCCCGTCAATAGTAAAAGCTTCAACTATTGTAATTCAGGAGTGTAGTTTCTCAGTCAGAGAAAGGTGCACATAAGCCAGGTGCATGTATGCACCTTCAACCAGACTATACACAATAGACGTCATCGTACAAAGTGGCGTTATCTACGACCAGCAAACAATCACGGCAGCGTGAAACAAGCTCATCGATGAGTTATACGCCGGCGATCACCGAAGTTCTTCGGAACTTAAGGTTGAAGGTCACGAATCGCGTCATCAATGATAATTAACACACACAGATTTCACCAATAAAGTAAAGAAAAAATCTGATTAAAAAATATTTCTATTCCTAAAAATATATGTAATAAAATTGAAGAGATTGTCCAAATTAAAATATTTTGGGAAAATAGAAAAATATGTAAAATATGTCAAATACTTAATATAATACTAAATATCAAAAATAGTATTTAATGAAAAAATTGTCTATTGTGTTGGAAGGGCAAAGTTTCACCAAGATTATAATTATCATAATGGTAAGTAGATAGACAAAATGTATCTAATTAATAAAAATCTTGTCTCTACAGATTAATGGAATTGAATATGATACAATGTACTTAGAGTTAATAAATTTTAGTACAATTGTGAAATGAAAAAAAAAAGAAGTTTGAAAAGCCGAAAGCGATGCATTTGTAACACTCCCTTCAAACTCTGAGCGGCTAGGTGCCCTTTCCTATTTCTAATCTGATACTCTTGTTGAATTGCTCCTTTGAGGCACAATGTTTTCCTAGGATACCAAAGAAATGAACAAGTCTCCTTGTACACATTTTGATTCTCCCTTGTGACTGGCTCTAATGAAAATTAGTAATTTAAAATAAAATATCTTGAATCTTCTGCTTTAATGTTTAAAGATTTCAATTATCGTAATGTAATGTTTGTTCTATGACTTCATTCCCGACCTCCTAGTTTTTACTGTTCATCGCGAACTTAAATATCAATTTATGTTGTGAGTGGTAAAAGTGGCATTTTTATTTTGCAAGTGGGAAAAGTTGGGACATGAGGCCAACAGGCGGCAAAATCTTTTTTACCACTTGTGTCATACTCCTATTTTTTAAGAGCTTAACTAATTGTCATTTTATTTTAATTTATATACCCAAATCACTTAATTATATAATATGTAACATTAAGACAGAAGTACTGCGATCAGACGAAAGTATTTTGTTTTCTTTGTTGTACACAGTTTTATCGGAACATTTGAGCATCGTCTTACTTTTATCACGTATGCTAAATATTGAACATTTGGCTCGTTGTACTGTCTTAAAAGTAAACAATTTTACTAGTGGCTGTCTAAATATCATTAAAACAAACGTTTCCTAGAGAATAATTTTTCAAAGTGTTTTTTCGCGCACTTGCTCTTCAGCAGAGTTGATAATTATGGAGGTTCTCTAAATATACTCATGTACTGCAATACAAAGCTTTCCTTTCTCTGATACGTTTTCAGGTTCATTTTTCGAATGAATACATAATTCATATCCACTGAAAGCGTAGGTCTTGACGTGAAGCAGATTAATGTAATCATTTGTTCCCGAGTGATTCTCTCCCAATGGCTCTAATCCTCCAACCCCTCTTGAAAAACATAGCGTCGCTCGAGCCACATATTACATCCCGCTGTCGCGACCCAGATAATGGAATTCTCTCTTGTTTCTTGTTTTTCTTTGCCCTCGTTGTACAAACTTCCTTCCAGTTTCTGTATTTCCTCACATCTTGGATCGGCTGTTGAGAAAGAAGAAAAGCCTCGTAAGGAATTTGTCGTCATCAATGCATTTTACAGAAATAGTACAAATTATGATTGTTTTAAGACATAATTTTGTGTAATAAGGTTTCTAAGCATTGCAGTGTGCCTCTTATTCCTCTGCGCGGTGATTGGAAATGTACATTTTTTGCCGA